GAACACTGTGTATGGGAAAATAATAAAGTTTTACAAAGCATGTTTAATTGACCAGTGTTAATATTTACTGGAGTTTGAATATTTAATGTTTATTAGATGCAGTGACATCCATGTGTGTCACAGTACATTGTACACTCAGTACAGCTGCTTGATTTAATTCCATTTCGTGTGTCATCTTATTCACATGCATGTATTCGACACATATTCCTAAGTGATAAACCAGATAAGAGAAGAAGGTGCATCTGCAGTTCATCTGTAGGGTCTCCCGCTGCACGTATGTTAAAGGGCCCTAATCATTTAAAAGCTCTATGGTGTTTCCTTTCCCACACATGGGCCATTCTCCAAGTTTCACTGAACAGGCTTCAGTTAGAGGTAGACGTCTTCCATCCCTACCAGGACAGACTTTGAACGTGCTGAGTTACCAGTCTATTACCACACCGGGACAGACTTGCTTTGAACATGCTGAGTTACCAGTTCCCCTTCGAGATGGAAGAGTTGGCGCTCTCTCCCCTGGCCCCCTACCGTCTCTCCTTGTTTGAGCAGCCTACTTCTGTGGAAACAAGAATTTTTTAAGTTATTGTCATTGTTACCTCTGGCTCTTCCTCAGAGTATTCTTTCCCTTTCTTGGATTATAGGGGCCAAGGCAATTGTGCTGAGTGGGGTGGGAGGATACTTCAGCCCTCTTGACAGCTTGTAGAAGAAACCGTTCCTGCTGACCCACCACTGGAGACCCACAGCACTTGCATGGAAGCAGCTGCTCTCTCTGGTCTTGGATCTGTGATTAATTGTGCCTCTTACAGTATTTTACTCCGCACTGAGGCCTGTAAAATTCAATGGGATTTGTTTCTAGGCTTTTCTCTCATTTTGTCCACTTCATTTTGAGTTACACTCTCTTCCTTCATAAATTATTTGTCGGGCCTCACATGCCAGCTTTGCAGGGATGGGCGAGCAGCATGGAAACCCCACCCTCAGGGACTTTTGGATGTCAGTTAGGCAGCTCTGGACCTGGGACTTGGCACCATCCCACCACCGAAATACTCCTTACTGGATAAGTGTGGGGGTCTAGGCTTCACCAGCTATACTTGAAGAGTTCCAAATCATGTTTTCCCTACTGGTTCCTCAGGTTGGGGAACCCTACGCACCACTAATTGTTACACCTTTGAGTCGTATGTAGAAGACACACAACACAGAAGCAGTGAACATAGACTGCTTCCTAGAACTAGTGAATAGTAGATTTTTGTCTGTCAGGAAGAATCCTTTACCATGGTGATTTCGCTGCTTAGACAAATATTTTTTTAATTTATTTATTTTTATTTTATGTGCATTGGTATTTTGCCTACGTGTATGTCTATGTGAGGGTGTCAGATCTTGGAGCTACAGACAGTTGTGAGCTGCCATGTGGGTGCTGGGAATCGAACCCAGGTCCTTTGGAAGAACAGCCAGTACTCTTAACCACTGAGCCATCTCTCCAGCCCCTAGACAAATATTTTTCAACCATAGTCCAGAGCTAAAGACACTGAGGAGAAGGAAGTGCACGCTTCAGCCAGGTCCTGTTTGACAGAGAGGTAGACCCCACACAGGAAGCCAGGGCATCTTTTGGGAAGCTTGTGAACAGCACTGGTCTGTGTGTCAGGTTCCAGGCCAAGTATGAATGCTCAGCAACATGATTGCTACAGCCTCGATAAAGGAAGGTATCCTCTGCCGGGCTGTCAGGGGTCCGTACCACCTCCTCTGAAAGTGTGTGTGTGTGTGTGTTATACACATGCTAGTTGTATACCAAATAACTCCTGGGGATGTCTCCTTGAATCTTCACAAGAACCCCAGTATAAGGAGGAAGGATGCAGACCAAGTCTGACTATAAAAGCCGTGTGCCCTGTGCCCCACACTGCCTTGAGAATAAAAAAAATGAATACCACCAAAAAACTAACAAAGACCAGCAATCCAAACCAACGGCAACATGATTTCATATTTTAAAATGCGATTTGCTATACAATTAGGAACTTATCTGGAGAATAAAGTTGGGTGATTAAAACCAGATGGGTTCTGAAGATGTGGGATGAGTCAGGGTGTGGCTTCGAAAAGGGATGGTTGCTCCTGCAGCCGAGAGCATTTCAAGGAATAAAGATGGAAATGGAACAGCTGGGAGGCCCCACTTGCTGTTCTGTCTCCTGCATGAGGTCATGTGTTTATGGCCCCAGAGACTGAGTTGAACTAATGTAATTCCTATTTGGCATCTCTGTACTAATTAATGACAGTTGTTTCATTTGTACATATTATATTAAATTAGGTGAATTCTTCATCTTTGTTTGGACTAGAGTATTAATTCTTTTTATGTGTGCAAGGTTTCCTAACAGACCTCAGGAAACATTCCTGACCACGTAACGGAAAGCCTTCCCAACACCCCCAGTACACTCGGGTACTGTTTTCTTTATAACACTCAACCCTACCAAGCAGCTTGATCATTGTTTTCTGGAAAATATTAATTGAGAATATTCAGGGAACAACAAATAGATGCTCGTAAGTTTCTAGAGTTTTCTGTATTTCTTTCTGCCAGGATGTCTTACCTAAAACAATGTGGTCATCTGTTTGGAGAGCTCCAGGGAGAGGGAGCAGGATTAATTCCCGTCCCTGTGTGCAGTGTAAACAGCTTTTTGCCTGTCTTTTGTCATTAATGATCATGCTGAGGATGTAGCCAGTGCATTGTAAGCCAATCTGTCAAGGCAAATAAACAATTCACCTTGTTAAAATTCCCTAAATCTTGCATTAATAAAACCAAAGGAGCCCCCTGAACACTCAAGAGATGTCTTCCTCCATACTGCAGTGATGGATGATACGTCTAAAGAGCCTGGAAATTAAGTAGTTCGAGTCATTAAAAGTGCCCCACACTTCTTATTGATTTAATTTATTTTAAAAAGGTAGGGGAGGAGATAAGAATGTTGCACCCGCCCCTATTTTATTTTTTTTTAAATCTGAAGGCTACCACCTATACAAGTAGTTAGAATTATTTCTGGGGCAAATTGTTCCATATTCATCACAACCTTAAGTTTTGTTATTCAAATGGGTATTATGCCGTCCTGCTAAGCAAACATCTAGAACTATCTTAGTAGTCCTTGCAGCCTTTGCCGTGGCAAAAACTTCTGGGACTTCTTGGACTCTCAGAGCGAATGATCTCTGGATAGTCAAAAAGTCCATTGAGTAGGTAGGATTTGAGATAAATGTCAAACAATTTGAAAGGAATGAACTGAAATGTAGGAAATGATATCTGTGGACAGAGGGGCTCTTTCCTCCTTTGCTTTCTCGAGTTTTTGGTTTTTTGCTTGCACAGTTAGGAAAAGAATATTATACCTGAGATGAAGGAGGGGTGTGTGCATGGATGGACCAATGGAAGAGAAAACATTTGGAGAGTGGTGTGCAGGATCTTAACTGTCTTTGTACTTTAAGTTGCTGGAATTGTGTGTGTACTTACTCTTTATCCCATACTCCATTGAACCCACTCTATTCACTGCCACATCTCAGGCCCTGGTATAACAAGTACCCAGTCAGTTTTATTTCATGAGTAGAGTAGAATTCCCCATCACTTTTCTATCTTCTCTCTTTTTTTTTTTATTCCTTAAGATCTTTCTGGTAGAGTGGACTCTGTGAGGGATGGTGACAGCCCGGACACCCTAACCTTCCAGATGGGCTGTCTCTGGGACCTGAATAGCAGGAGAATTGGACATTGCAATGCATATGCAGGCCTGGCAGCCTATGTAGCCCTAATCCATGTACGTGATCTGAAATGGGCAGTAGGATTCCACGCCTGTGAGAAATGAGGCAACTCAGTGTAAGGATGATGGTATGCCTTCAATGCACAGAAGCACTTACACTATGACCCAATTTTTTATTTGTTCTGTATCTTCTGCACCAGTTAGACAGCTGTTCCTAAGATGCTGTCAGATAATATTTCATTAATTTCCATTATTCTTTAGATTACGTACACTTATTGGGGGGAATACCACCCATGGTGTGTTGTTTAAGCAGACCCTTAACAGTTATACTAGTGAAGCATGGCCATTCCTGACTATAGTCCCCACACTGAGGAGACCGAGGCAAGAGGACTGCTGTGAATTCAGAGCCAGCCTGGGCCAGATTGTAGACCCTTCTTTCAAAAGACAAGCAAAAGAGCAGTTCCATAGTGTTTGGTGCTTTTCCCTCCCTGTCTTTAGTGGAGAGAGGAGCAGGTACCAAATGTGTAATCTGTTAACACACGTTGGCAGATTCTTTTAAAAATGCATAAATATGAAAATGCACTCCGTAGCCTCCGCAGGTTTCTCCTCCATGTTGCATAATTTGGATCTCAGCATGCTGACACATTTATGTTATTATGCCAGCTCTTTAGCAGAGCTATTTAAGTGGAAGAACTTTATAGATTTTTTTCAATATATACCCTGATTTACACTTAGCGGTAAAGTTGTCACTGACCCTTTAAGTGGAGCTGTCCAGATGGCAATAAATGTCAAGGGATCCTAGTGCAGAAACAGGTGATCACTAAGGGGTTAGACTAAATCTTCTAGATGGAAAACCTGCAGTATTTCTAAGGGGCAGTGGCCTGTGATGGAAATGTAATGCTTTATCACTCAATAGGAAAATTTGATTTGTGTATCTGATATGCCTGGGGTTGGACTGTTCAGGATGGGTCAGAGTCTCTGTAAAGGCAGGGACCATGTCTGGTGCTTCCCCAATGTCTTGTCCAATAGTGAGCATCTGAAGGTAGGAGACACTTCTGTAAATCTACCGTGAAGGAGTACTGGATAAAAAGTGCAGGGTGTGTGCATGCCGTATAGCATATGCATCAGCCTGAATCCACGGTGGCTGGAAGGGGGACCGCTCCTCGTATCAGTTGTGAGGAGTGTTACTGGTAGTGACTTTGATGGACAGTTATGACTTTTTGATAGCGCTCCTTTGATTGATGGTCTGACAGACTTCCCTTCCATCTCTAATTCTGTTTTCTGCTTCCACAGGCTGTCATTTTGGAAAACGAAGAACTTCCCAAACTCTTCCTTGATTTCCTCAACGTGAGACACTTGCCCTCTCTCCCAAAGGCAGAAAGCTGTGGGTAAGAACTGCTGTTTGCATTGTGGGCGCGCATTTTAAGTTACTCTTCAGTAACTGACTGTCCTAACAAATATCCCAGAGCGGTGCCACCTGGCAAGCTGGCCACATCTAAGCTCTTAGTTGAGGCGGCACTCTCTCTCATATCCCTCTGCTTATAGTGAGAGGAATTCCTCCCAAGCCTTCACCTCCATCTTGCAGCAAACGGTCCAGGTAAACCCATGCTTAGGCACAAGGCACTAACCTCTTAAGTGATGGCGTCACTTAGTGTTGCAGATGGTAATTATGAATCCAGAGTGCAATCAAGGACAGTCCCTTGACTTATGCCAAGTACACATATTCATATAGCTTTTTAAAGACACATGCTTTTATTATTTATGTGTATGCTTGTGTGTGCCTTGAAGGTGGTGGTGGTGGGGAGGTGCCTGTGGAATCCAGAAGAGGGCATCAGATCCACCAGAGCTTGAGTTACAGGCAGTTGTGAGTTCCCTGACATAGGTGCTGAGATCCAAATTCAGGTCCTGTAGAAGAGCAGCAAGTACTCCTAACCACTGAACCATCATCTCTCCAGTCCCTGTATTCATATAGTTTTAAAGCTATCGATGACTTTAGAGATCGTTGATCCAACACCCCTCATTTGGTTGTTGCTCAGAGACACAGTATTTAATTAAGTGCCTTTCCCAAGCCATGCAAGTGGCAGAACCCAGGCCTTCCATGGAGGGCTTCTTTCTTTGACCACTACTTCCCCCTGAGGAACTCGGAACTGATGGGCTGTAGTCCCCAGGCCCTGTTGACCATGGAACTAGAGGTGTAACATCGCCAGCAGCTAGAGACAGTTCTTCTAAAGGCTGAAATCTGGAGCAAGCTGGGCTGAGCTAGCCTCTGAATGCAGTCAGCCACACCCCTGCCCAGTCAGTCGATCCACAGAGACAGAAGGCAACAGAAATCCAGCAGGGTAAAAGACTTCACCCAGCCTTTCCCTCTGCCTGCAGCCCTTTCCTGAGATCAGGTTAGACGTGAGCTGTCTGCGGAATGCAGGGCAGTAGACACCTTTCACCGCCCCTCCTCAGTGCTGTTGACCCAAGACCACTCATCCCACAGCCTGAATTCTATTCCACACTCACCCAGTGATCTCTGTGACCAGTGTGCTCTGTCCCAACCTTTGTATTCGTGTTTCCTGGGAGGGCAGGTTCATAGATGCTCTTGAGTTTTGCACAGAGACGTTAACAATTACAGTGAATGGGGTCTTCTTACTTCCATCCCAGCCCCCAAATAGTAATAAGGCCATATGATTTTTAAAAGATCTTAAGGAAAATTTGAGATGCTCAGTGTCTTCCAGGCTGAAGATGTCTTATTATGTATTATCAGCCGTGTTGTGGCTAGTACAAACCCTCAACTTTTCTGTTGGTTTCCCCAGTTCAGTGCTAAGTATACTAACTTTTGCTTTGTTGGCATAAATGTTGGCCCAACTTAATTGTTTTTCTTTTCCTTTTCTTTTATAAAAATTTCAGATCTTTTGATGAGACGGAATCTGAGGAGTCGAGGTAAGAACTAATAGCAACCAACAAGAAGTTACCGAGATCAATAATAGAACTGTAGTTTGTTCAACGTCTAACTACCCATGGTGTAACTGTTTAAAGTCGTGTTTCTCCTGGAAACCTTTGGTGGATATTGGTTTTAAGATGATAAATATTTGATGGGAAGTTGCAGGGTTAATTGCTCATGATTAGGAATGAAAAGGATTAAGAGCCCCACGTGGCTTCATGCAAGTATTAAGAATACTGTCTTAACTTACGATCAAATCACGGAGTTTCAGAGAGGTCTTTCCAGCAGTGGTATTTACTGCCCCGATGAGTGTCTGTCTCATATCCCAGAGAGAAATATTCAGAAGGCAAGCGCAGCGCCCACGATTTCCATCTGTGTGTTTGCTGTTATTCACCCACAACTGGTAGATGCAGAGACCTGGAGACATCCCACACAGCAGTTTGATCCCCTCAAAGCTAGTTTGTAGTGTTTTCTGTTTACCATCGTCCCCTGATGCTGACATGCCTGGTTTTGACCTTTCTAGCAAGCTGTCCCACCAGCCGGTGCTGCTGTTCCTCGGGGATCCATACGTCTTGCCTGCAGCCAGCGGTAATCAAACCTGTCATCTGCTAACAGCTCTTTACTGATCTGCCCCCTGCACCACATACACCACGTTTGTAATACGGGTCTACCAGAGTGACATCGGTCCAGGGCTTAATCATCTGCCAATAAACCAGTGCTCTTGGTGTAAGAGACATTTAGAATTTTAATTGGGGCCGGCCTTTCAGGAGGAAATGTAATTTTTCTTTCTCTCTTCCTAGCCTATTTTGAATTAGAGAAAGAAGGGATAAAAGTATTTATTTTTCTTTCTTTTCTGTGATTTTTTTTTTTAGACTACTGCTTATTTTTAATCTAGATGTAGAGTTCAGGTTGAAGGTTCTGGTCTTTCTTAAAAATGTTTCCTTCCAAAAGCCGTGTGCATGCATTGCAAGTATACCCGAGTCTACAATTAGGTTTCAGTGTTTTTGATGGTAGATTATATATTTTTAAGTTGTATATTTTTATTACAACAAATTGATTTAAGTGTAACCATAATCGATATTTTAACATGCGTCCTTTTTCGGATCTAGTTCCCTAGGGCCCTTCTCAAAGTGTTCTCCTATATAATGTTCCCGGAGGACATTCTCAGACATCATCTCATTTCATTTGCAAGCGGCCTTATAAAATAGGCTCAGCGGGTACTATCATTGGCTAAAGGGGAAAATTCCGACTCAAGGATGTTGTTGACTTACCAGGCTCAGGAGGACCATTTGAGGCCCAGGTTTTTTCTCCTTTGCTGTTAGCCTAACAGGTCTCCGACCTCTGAGAATCACAAATACCAAGCCATAAGAAAGCATAGATAAAGCATTGTTTCTGTCAACACAACCTTCCCACAAGCTGGAGAGAGAGGGGACTGCTGTCTGTAGCATGGGACTCGTAGTCAGATGACCTGCTTACCTACCAGTAAAGGAAAGGTGGCCAGGACGCAGACATAGCTCACGAAGAGACTCCTCTGACCCTGCTCAGAGAGTTGCCTTGACTGTCAAGAATTTTTTTTTTTTTTTTTTTGGTTTTTCGAGACAGGGTTTCTCTGTGTAGCTTTGGAGCCTGTCCTGAAACTCACTCTGTAGCCCAGGCTGGCCTTGAACTCACAGAGATTCGCCTGCCTCTGCCTCCCGAGTGCTGGAATTAAAGGCATGCGCCGCCACCACCACCACCCCCCGGCAAGAATATGGTTTTATGGTGGCATTTTATGCATGTCTTCTCAGTGAAGCATAGTTACCCCTCTTTAGGAATGCTTCCTGTATTTAACATATTTATATGAATAATAATTAATATATTAGGTGGTGTTGTATTAAAATATTATGTTTAGCAAATATAATACAACCTAGTCTAGATGAAATAGTCATATTGTCTTTTAAAAGTGGCTCCATACCTAATTGTCCTGGAATTGTCTCTATTCAGATATTTCATGCACCTGTCCAGAGTTCCCACAGCAGTGGGCAGAACAGAGTGATGACTGGGCAGGAATAGCCAGGAGTTTGGTGGGAATGAGAGGAGGTAGGGGGTGGTGGGTTTTGTGATCATTCTTTAAGCTTATACACTTTGACGGTGGAGAGCAGAGAAGCCTTCCGGGAAGCAGCGTCAGGGCAAATGTGGGAAACGGGAAGAGTAAGGTGTGTGTATTGTTGGTCACTTGCTGGTGTTGACCACAATGAGGGAAATCCTACTTGAGAGTGACTATAATTAATGGGTTTGGCGGGCAGGAGGAAATAGGTACAGTGGCCAACAATCATGCTATATTCTTAAGATTTTAGCAGACCCAGTTTTGGAAATCAGGCTCCTCTGGCCTTAGAGAAACTTTATCTGTACCACACAGTGTTGTCAAGATGCCTTTTAGCGAGTGGAAGTCATTATTCCTGTAAATACTGAATGTGGAAATCTTGAGATTTATTGACTCTCATTTACATCTGTTGTCTTTACATTTTGGACATTTTGCCTAAATATCTTTTTAGAGTATGCTAATACTTGACACTGGATAGATGGCTTTATGGTAAATTGTCACTCAAGCATACAACTCTGAGTTCCACCTACAGAACCTACATTAAAAAAAATAAAGGCTGGACACGATGGTGCACGTGTAAGCTAGCACTTTGGAGACGTACAGGAGGATCCCTAGAGCTCACAGGCCAGCCAGCCTAGCTGATCAGTGTGCTGGCCGTCACTGAGACCCTGTCTCAAAAAGCAAGATGGACAGCTCCTGAGAACGACACTGGAGGTTGACTTCTACCTTCTGTATGCATGGACACATGTGCATGTGCATACACACACACACACACACACACACACACACACACACACACACACACACACAAAGGAAAAAAAAAGAACAGGCTAATACCCGATCATTATCTTCTTAGTTTTTGATAACAACAGTCAAGAGAATACCCTTGATTTTAAAGATTTATTTCTTTCTACCTTATGTATGAGTATCTTGCTGCATATATGTATATGTACCATCTGTGGGCCTGCAGAGGCCCCTGAAACAGGAGTTGTAGATGTTTGTGAGCCCCCATGTGGATGCTAGGAACCAAACCAGGTCCTCTACAAAGAGCAGCCAGTGCTCTTACCCAGTGAGCCGTCTCTGGCCCCTAGAGAGAACTCCCTCGACAGCCTCAAAAGCATGTGTTTTGGCCTTTGTCTTAATTTTTCTGGAAAATACAAATCAACCCTTTTCAAGGACCTGGGTATCCTCAACGTGACTGAACATTCTGGCCAAGTCTCTTCTTTGTCGTCTTTAGATGTGCTGGACCACTCTCTCTCTCCCTTCCAACGCTGTCTCACCCCTGGCTTTCCCATCAAAGACTGGACGCTGCTCACTGAGCTTTTCACTGAATCGTCTTCTGCTCATGGCCTTGAACTACCCCACCCATGCAACTGAGAGGCAGAATTGTGTTTGCAACACAGACCCTTGCTGTGGTTTGCAAGAACTCTGGTCTAGTCCAGATCATCTCTCCGCACATACTCTACTTGGTTCCAGCTACTCTGCAATTCATTCTGCACACACCCTGGGCACCTGCCCTGCCCATCCTACTGACCCTGCCAGCCCTGCTGACTCTACCCCAAGGGCATTTGCCTTGCCAACCCTACCCCCAGGACACCTGCTGCTTCCTCCTTGAATCTTCTGTCTGCATGCTTGGTGGGCCTGTCGGCTCCCAGGCCTCGTGTTGAATGTCACAGCTTTGAAGCTTTGCTCCCTCTCTCCTTCAAGCAGCCTCCATACATCTTTGTCCTGTTGTTATTGTTGCCCACAGAGAATGTTCGCTAGATAGAGGAATGCCAGTAAAAATGACAAGAAATGTATCCCAAATTGTGTTCCTTCCCGTCACCTCCCAAGGGGAGACAAAGGAAAGAACAGTTCCCTGAGCACATCAAGCAGTGATGGACATTGTATTCAGTCATAGCCTTGGTGAAGTCTGGATCTAAAGTTCAAAGGGCAGTGGAACAAGTGAGTGGGGGCGGGTGCAGTGCCCACTTATCCCATCACTGACCATTAGGCTGACCGGCCCACCCATCTGTTCACTTTGTCTCCGAGCACCCTGTTGGCTTCCTTCAGTAGAAATGGCTGCAGACTATGTCCTCTGGAGGGCCTCCCCCTGGCTGCTGTCTGTGCAGGGACCGCTTTCTCCTGGACACCCTCACAGCTGACTCCTACAGCACCTCATTCAAACTGGCTCAGGCGGCTGAGCCTTTTTTCCCTTTCCTGTGCCCTGCTTTGTGTCCTTGCTTCTAAGCCTCTGTCTGACGTATTCATCACAGTATAGAGTTAATTACTCATAACGGGGTTTTCATTGTTTTATGGGACTTCGTTGAATCCAAGTAAGTTAAATATGTTCATGGTATAAATTAACTGTATTTAAGTAGATTTTCAGATTTCAGATGGCAAAGGATAACAGTATGCCACGTGGATGAAATATGTTTGGATATTTTATTGAGAATTAATCAGTGGTTGAATTTATTAATATCTGTATGAGGAATAAATTTAAAATTAGAATCAGCTAGACCATTTCTTCAAATACGCAGATATATAGCCTACTGGAGGCTTTTTAAAGCTCTGTCCTGTGAAAATGTGTGTGTGTGTGTGTGTGTGTGTGTGTGTGTGTGTAGCAGAAAGCACACACTCAGAAAGAAAGCCAGTGTCGCCGGGCGGTGGTGGCACACGCCTTTAATCCCAGCACTCGAGAAGCAGAGCCAGGCGGATCTCTGTGAGTTTGAGGCCAGCCTGGTCTACAGAGTGAATTCCAGGAAAGATGCAAAGCTACACAGAGAAACCCTGTCTCAAAAAACCAAAAAAAAAAAAAAAAGAAAGAAAGAAAAAAGAAAACCAGTGTCATCAGCCAGAGAGAACTCACTATTCACATAGTAGAGAGATTTGTTTAAACATTTTATTTGTATCATTTGCTTGCTAGCACCTTTTTCCTGGCCTGGACAGAGACTGTAACTTACATTTCCAGTAACTAGATGGGTATATGGCATGTGGTAATGGCCAACTATTTACTGTGTGCCAGGACGCCCATGAACTTGGTTTCTCATGCCAGCTTTTCAATAACCCGTAAGGAAGGTGTTGGTGTGAAATCCACTTCACCACTGTTAAAACAGCTCAGCTGTGTCCCTAGAGCTGGGAAGTGACTATCCAGGATGCAGCGACATTTCAGTGAACATTTGCTAAGGTAAACCAGTCAGTGTATCCAGCTCTGTACTTGACTTCGCCCTTGACTGGGCTCAAAGGCGTCCCAAACTCAGCAGGTCCCGAACTGAAGAGATGATTGGCTTCTGTCTCACTCTCCTTCCTCAGCTTCTCCCACAACCCTCTGGCTTAGTCAGACAGAACCCCAAGGAGCTCCTGTGATGATTTCAATGATTTCTGTTCCCTTCTCCTTTCTCTCAGCCCTTCTGTGAGACAGAGTCTCACTGTATAATCCAGGTTGTCCTTGAACTCCAGGTCCTGCCTCTGCTTTCCATTCCTGGGATTCCAAGCACACACCAGCCCAACCGGCTTAATCCTTGGCCTCTCCCTTTTATCCACTAGTCATTTGTGTCTGCCACCAGGTCACATCCTTCATTTCTCTAGAATCCATCCGCTTTTCTGTGTCCTGTGTCAGGATCTCCCTCTGAACTACAGCAGTAACCAAATTGATCTGTGTCCGCCTCACGCATGCTTCAGTCCATTCCCTGTGTGGCAGTCCGTCATCTTTTCAAAATTTTGTGTCTCCCTTTACTTAAAATCCCTCAATACCCCTAGTACATTTCAGATAAAGCCTAAACTCCCACGAGATCCTCGTAGATCTGATGTGGTACCCCTGGCCTGAACACCAGTCTACTGCCTCACTTCCTCTGAGGACTCAGAACCTTCTGGGTTTCCTTGCCCTAGCCTGTACTGTCACCTCATAGTCCCCTGGAGCCTTCCTCTGAGGAAGTCCAGTTCCCTTGTACGTGACTTTACATGCTAGTTACTCTATAGGGAATGGATGGAGGAAAAAGAAGTATTAAGCTATTGGTCCATTTGCATAATAACTATTCAGAGTGCTCAGCTTTCCCCTAACTCCTGACGTAATTGTGTACAGTTGGAGCTTAAACCTGAACGTCCGGGCCATGGGAAGATTGATCCCCCTGCACAGCCCACTAAGCCCCGCCTGCTCTCACACTAGACACTGGCTCAGCAGGCCGTGTGGACCCCTGCGTTGCCTTTGTGCCTTCTACGAAAGTGAGGCTGGTTTTTCAAGGTCGACAGGATGACTCTTGTTAGAATTTTGCCCTTTGGAGTTCAAAGACAAGACCCCATCTCTCTACTCTCCGGAGCGTGCCCACAATAAGTACACACAGGACAACTTGGACTAAGTTGGTTCTGTAAGCCTCAGTGGAAAAAAAAACACAACCAAGTATTCCCAGTAGAAATCTTGGAATTCTTTCAAGTGTATTGAGATTTTTTTGTTAGAAATTGAATTGCCAGCGTAATCCATCTTCCTTGTGAGGAAACAGCCAGATAAAGAGCTGGGGCCTAGCGGCATTAACCACTAGAAGAGCAGCCCCTGAATCGATAACACTACAAATCTGGCCGAGCCGTCCTGCAGCGCCTGGTGGGAGCCAAAATGGCCTCTGGCTGACAAGCACAAACGGTAGCCCTCCTCGTCCGTGGGTAAATATGCACAAATAGTAGCCCTGACCTCTGACACCGGTGGCCTTGATCTCTGACCCTCTTTCCTGATCACGACTTGGTCACGTGAACTCCAGAGAGTGTGGTGGCTCCAACCCTCTGTCCATAAACACAGCTGTATCTTGTCGGTGCACGTTAAGATAAGCAGCTTCCCTTTTCTTTTTCAGATTTCCCAAATGTGGTCATCGAAGGGGTTCTTCATGGAATATTTTACTCTCATCTACAGCCCAGGTAGAGACCCTACCCGACCGGAAGAAGCTGAAGTGAGCTTCAGTGTCAAGGGCAAGAAAATCGATCTCTCTACCGACTTAACTGAAGCTCCATGACACAATAGCTCTAGGTAGTGGGGAAATTCACAGTCCTAGCTTCCTTCAGAACAGGGACATTTCTATTAGAATGGTGCTTTTAAAATTAGAAACTGAACCAGGGCAGCGTCAGTTCAAGGCTAATGGTTTGAGTGAAAGGGAGACTCCAACGTGGGAAGTCAGGACGAGGAGGCCACAGTGGAGCACGGTGGACACTCAGGAGCACCGAGTGTCACCAGACAGAGGCAGCCGCTGTCCCAGTTGCACCGTCTGCTAATTGGAAATCAGATCCGGAGTCATGCTGACACTGAGCAACTTTGGTGGCCTTCTGTTCAGACCGTGACAACACCCGTCTTTACACCATGAGATTTTCTCAGCGGGGGATACTGTATTCAGGGATGTTGGCATCAGAGGAGAGTCCTGGGACCCACTGTGCTAAGTGTGAGGGAAAAAAACCAGACTGGAAATTTGGTTATGTTGGCAGTAGGATACATTGAAGAACAGAACGCATTTTAGTTTCCATTACCCTGGGGTTCCCTCCCAGCGACAGGTTAGCTTCCCGCATCAGTGTTTGAGATGAAATGGGGTGTTGGCACAATCCTTGAGAGTCCTCTGGAAAGACACTACACCGGAAGTCTGGCCTCCCATTTTTTTCCTCTAGTATTGGAAAGTATGAGTGCTCCTCTGAAGACCAGCTGGCGCCCTGATGAAGTCCCAGAGGCCGTTACATATAGAAAGTACACACTTTAAACACTAGAGTCACACTGCAAAGTCCTTGTGCCAGCGGGAGTCAGATGTGAGTTGAAAGAGGTTGCAGCAGGAGCAGATGGACTGTTTGTGTCTGGGTTTCCTCCATGGTGTACATTCATGGTATTGCCACAGGCTTCTCTGCGGTTGGTGGTTCTCTTCACTGACATCATGTATGGATTAACGTGATTTAGATGTTTGATGCTGTCTCTCCACTGGATGTCACACAGATGGTCATCTTTTGCTTAGTGACAGAGCAGGAGTGTATGTCCTACCTGAGAATATGTGCTGATGAACAGCCTACTTGTGGGTATGAATTTTCATAAATTTAAATGTTGGAGAAAATATTTACAATTGAAAGTACCATGTCATGAATTTTTTATTAGAGTCTAAACCTACAGATAGCCTGCTGCAAACTTTTAAAGATACGTTTTTATGATTGATTGTGTAATTATGGTAGAAATAAAGTAATCAAGTGAAAATTAACTAAATGGTGAAGTATTAGAGATACTTTTTAAAATGTTTTTATGTTCCTAGCTATTTTGAGTTAAATAAAAACAAATGAAAGTAAGTATTTGAATGCGTGTTTTTCTCAGAATTACTGGAGGCACAGATTATGTCTACATATGCACAGAACACAAATACAACTGCTCTCACATTTCACTAGACACGTATCTCTAATCTGATGGGGTAGTAAATCACCTGACCCATTATTAAACTAGCTGATACTCATTAAATACTTCATGATTTGCCAAATTAAATTTTTTTTAACTAAATAAAGACCAAACATATATGATGGTATATTACTCAAGAAATCTGTTAGCTGATAATGGTGACTCATGCCTGGGATCTCAGCACCTGTGAGGCAGAGGCAGGAAGATCACTATAAGTTTGAAGCCAGCCTGGTTTGGATAGCAAGTTCCAGGCCAGCCAGGGATTCATAGTAAGACCTTGTCTCAAAACTAAGACAAAGATAAATCATTCATTTTTGGAAATTAAATTACATCTTAGCAATGACCTTTTTTAAAAGTTCATTTTAAAATTGAGTATATGGGCCAGAGAAATGGCTCAGCGGTTAAAAGCAGCTTAACAGCACTGGCTGCTCTTCCAGAGGTCCTGAGTTCAATTCCCAGCACCTACCTGGTGGCTCACAACTGTCTGAACTATCTGTATTGTACTCTCATGAGTACTGATGCTCTCCTCTGGTGTGCATACATGCAGACAAAACATCCATATACATAACATACATAAATAAATCTTCAGTGTATAATGTTACCACTGGGAGTTCTTGCAGGACCATAAACTACTATAGATCTTTTAAGCATAAAGAGTTGTATATCTGAAGCCAAGAAGACCTGAGTCAGTTCCCCAGCACCCAGCTCAAAGGTCTGACAATGCACTCCTATAATCCTGACACTGGAGAGGTGGAGACAGAAGGGTCCATGGGGCTGTCTGGTCGACCAGTCTAGTTGACTTGGTAACTTTCACCATCATTGAAAGACCTTGTTTCAAAAATACAAAGTGAGAGCCATTGAGGAAGACATCCAATGTCAACTTTTGTCCCCACAGGCATGTATATACACACGTGAACACACACACACACACACACACACACACACACACACACACACACACCAAAATTCAAAACCAAACCCACGATTTGCCAGCCAGTAACCATAGCCCAGAGCAACAGGAAGTTGGCATTCACCCCACAGCCCCCCATGGTTTCCCACTCCATTGCCCATCAACATACAGCAGCCTGTCAGCCCCCGCTGCAATAGAGTCTGGGAGGAGGCTGGTCGTCTTTTGATCAAAACAGCTCGGGACACACTGGGAAGATGATGGCATATATTTCTATGGTTAGAAATATTATAAAAATATAAAAGGGTACATAAAGCAACCCTCCTCCCATCCCATCTCTTGAATACCCTGGTCCCCTCCCATGAGCAGCCATGGTGCTTAGTTTTTCTATATAATCCTTTGAGAGAGAATTTCTCTATAGGCAAGAATATATTATCCATCTACTGCTTGTTTTGATTTGATTTTTTAGATTATGTGTATGTATGTATGTATATACGTGCAGCACATGCATACTTGCCTGGGACCCTCAGAGGCCAGGAGAGTGTCAGATTGCCCGGAAGTGGAGTTACAGATGGTTGTGAGCCACCATGTGGGTGCCGGGAACTGAACCCAGGTCCTCTCCAAGAGCAACAAGTGCTTTTAACTCCTAAGCCATTTCTCCAGCCCCATCATCTAATGTTGTCACATCCTGTTTCCCCCATTTTACAGACATGGTAACCTACAATACTCATCTTTTATACATACTTTCATATAATGACACATCTTGACAGTTATGTTAGTATACAAAGTATGTTTCTCTTCTCTTTATAGTTGTATACCTCGGCTACAATTTATGCAACTACTATAATATTTATGAATATGTCGACATTTTTCTACTATAGAAATACCATAGACAACTTTGTATACACGTGTACTTACATTAATTTCAATAGTAATTTTGAAAAAATTGTCACAGCAAAATTTTCATACAAAAACCCATGTACAGATGCACACTTATAATATTATTATTATTATTATTGGGTTCCATTGGACATTTGTAAATACACTATTTCATTCGGGTTCCACTGTGCATGGTTGTGTTGCCACGCAGGTTGTGCAGTGTGCAAGACCACACCATGCCATACACATGCTGCGCAGAGTGAGTGGTACATTGAGCCTGCCTGAGGCTCTGCACATGAGGAAGTAATGAAAAACTGATCCATTCAAAGCTTGTATTCATGAGCAAGAGAGAAATAAAAGGGCAGAGGACAGAAATAAGAAGGAAAAGAAGAACTCCCTTGCCCCTTGATCCAGGGTGTAGGGCAGCCCTGCTGCTCCATCCACACAGATGTTTGACTGACATTCTGCCCACCTGTGCCCTGGTGCTTGTCCTATGCAGAGCTGCTCTCCTGCCTCACCTCTGCCTGCTCATTTGCATACCGGCTGCCCTGGCCCTGGTGTCCTTTTTTTCTGGTGTTCCTTCTCCCTGCTGCCCTTCAAAAGTCACCCATGTGTACAGTGAGTGCCCTGTGGCATCGTGATCCCTGCTGCCTGGCCAACCCTGCACTTATAAGCTGAAAGTGTGGAAATCCCAGAGTCACAGTTAAAAGACAGAATCACACTTCAACATTGACAAAGGGCTTTCGTCTCTCTTGTTAACTTTAATCAATGGACAGTGGCTGCTTAGCACTTTGTTGATTCTGGCAGAATTTCCGTATGACTCAGTGATTCCAGAAATGAGGGAAGCAGCTGAAGATGGGATTTGGGTATCTGTGTTCACAGCATTGTGTACAGAAGGAGAGATGACCTAAGTGCCCATCAGTGGAGGAATGAGTGAAAACAAGTGAATTCTGGTGTGTGCTGTGTGGATGAATCTTGAAGATGTAAGTTGAACAAGCCAGCCGTGAAGGGACAAATCCTGGATAATTCCATTCATATGTGGTATTTAGAGTGTAGTGAGATTCCCAGACACCAAAATATGGTGGTGGGTGTGTCATGGGCTGGAGGACAGGGACATGAGGAATTGGTGTTGCATGGCTTTCTTTGAAGAAGACACAGTTCCGGAGATGGACGGTTGTATGATGTGGATGTGCTCAACACACACCACTAAAAATGATCCAAATGACTGATTCCATTCTGTATCTTTCACCTCAATTGGAAACAACCCGAAGGGGGCGATTCGGGGCACGTGGAGCTCTGTGAGTAAGGACAGTGCTCCATTGGTGCTCTCTGCCATGGGGGCAGGAGTTTAGGTACATACACCGTTGCTGCTCTCACAGTCCCGGAAACTTGTAAAATTCAAACAGGATTCGAAATTCTAAGCTTGTCAACTAGAACCAATCATGAACCATTTAGGATTCGGAGTCAGCCTGGACCATCCTACCTGACTGACCCCCACACAGACTGACACACACACACACTGGTAGGAACCACTGTAAGAGACTATGAATCACCTTTAGCATCTCTTTAAAATACTTTTTATTTATTCACTGACAATCGCATGCGTGTATGCAATGTATCATTAGTGTATATAACCCAAATCCCACTTTTACCCCTCTCAGACCTCCTCGATACCCCCTACATGTGTACTCTCTTTAATAGCCCACTGGGTCTATCTAATTAATGCTGCCTGAATGAACACGTGTGTGAAGCTCTGCTGGTCAGTTTCTGCCAGCTTGACACAAACTAGAGTCCCCTGGGAAGAGGGCAGCTCAGCTGAGGAAGTGCCTCCATCAGACTGTCCTGCGGGGATGTCTGTGAGGTATTTTCTCAATTAATGACTGATGTGAGACAATCCAACCCATGGTGGGCAGTACCACTGCTGGGTAGGTGGTCCTGGGTTGAATAAGAAAGACAGTTGAGTGAGCCGTGATGAGGAGTCCAGTAAGCAGTGTTCTTCCATGGCCGCTGCTTCACCTTTCTGCTCTGCTTGAGTTCCTGCCTTGACTTGAGATAGACTGTGACTGGGATGTGTAAGCCAAATGCACCCCTTCCTCCCACAGTTGCTCACGGCCTTTTTCACAGCAATAGAAAGCCAAGTAGGGCAGGGACCATCCACCATACTGTGAGCCACCCAGCAGAGGCCACGCCCCCAAGGAAAAAGAACCCTTCCCCTTTCGGCACCCATTGCTTCCTGACAGCTTCTCAGCTAGAGGTGGACTCTCGTGAGTCATTCCTCAATCCATGTTGGAATGTCGACTGGCTTGATCTTGTGTAGACTTCGTGCAGGTGGCCACAGCTGCTGGAAGTTCATAAGTGCAAGGGCTATGTCATACCCTTCTTTCTGTCCTCTCTTTCACCATAGTCCCGAGCTTTGGGGCTAGTAGGGGTTAATAGAAATGTCCCATTTATAGCTGAGCACTCAATGGTCATTTATTCTCAGCACTTTGACCAGTTATGAGTCTCTGCCAACCGCAAAGAGAAGTTTCTTCGACAAAGGTTGAGAGCAGCATAAATCTATGAGTATAACCGTAAGTATTTAGAAGGCAGTTGACAACATATCCATTTAGAAAAATGATCATCGGTTGTCCCTATGGGCCTGTGATCTGAGCCATGGGCTTTTGACCAGTGTATGGTCCAGGCATTAATGCCTTCCTGTAGAGATGGCTTCAGATCCAATCACAAGGTGACTGGTTACCCCATTATATTTGTTATAGCCATTGCACCAGTAGGTATCACTCGCCTAGCAGGTCGGTATTGTAGCATACTGGGGTCTACCACTGGGTAGATCCATTTATTGCTTCTCACCCAGCAGCCTACGACATAGTACCTTGGGCACTAAGAAAACTCATCAGCAGAGAGGAAGTTTCCAGATCAGTTCCAGTTGGATTTCTCAGTGTCCCATAATCAATATATGTTGTGTCTTCAGCATTAGAGTCATACATACTATCTAGCTATACTGGGTAACTATGAGCAATAGCAACAACCTGTGTTGTTTGAGGGGGGCACCCTGGTGCCTTCTGATCAGTAAGATTAGCATCTTGAGAGATTTCTCTCCCTCTTCCTCTCTGT